GGTATTGTGTAGCCTGTAACTCTGCCTTCTTGAGAACAATGTCCTTGGTGTCCTCATAGTGTTGATCTCTTGAGGATGAAAAGGTAACTTCATCTGGTTTATCATTCACAATTTCGGCTGACTGTTGCTTTTCCATATTCCGAAACCGATAAGCGTTACCAGGAAGGGAAAGGGCCCTCCAACGATCAAACACCCAGAATGTGAATATGTGATTCTTTTTATATAACTAATCAAGATGGTCCTCATACAGACAAACAGGAAGAGGGATGTAATATCAATGTAGAGTATCATCGCTTGAGCTCCACATAAAACTCTTGGTATGGTATGGAAAACATAAAAGATTGTCTTTACTCATTAACCTATTCGCATTTGAAAAAGATGAACTGTGTAATTATCTTTTCCATTTGCTGTACTACTTGCATCAACATGCTTACAACGGTTTACCTTTAGTATGTGTGTTTTTTTTGTAAGCTGTGTCCTGCTGTAGTTATTTACACAGGTCTTTAGGTTTCTTCTTGGTCATAGGTTAAGCTTAATACATAGCTGACTCGTTCCATCGATCAGCAAGGTTGTGAATTTTGTGTGAATACTCATCTAGCAGACTATGGTTTTGGCTGGTCGTCCTACAAAGTTCAAGTATAGTTTTTCACGTTTCAAGTTGAGTAGCATTGGTAGAGTCCGGTGAACTACATCTACGTACCTTATCGCTCTGTTCAGTTAGGCATAAGATTTTGTATGTCAGCATTATCGGGATAATTAAACTAATGGGTGTATTCTTTTTTTTTGCCTTCCAGTACACTGTCATATTACAAAGCAAGGTACATGAGGGAAATAGAATGTGCTCAACATCCGCACTAATAGGATGACCTTTACAGGTTGCCATAGGCCAGTGACCAATTCATGTTGATCTTGTGCGTTTCTAACATTGATCAAATGCCGGGTGCACTTGAACTTGCACTCAACATTGCCAATCAAACAGCAAGGTAGAGGCCTTTTTTCCTTTAAAATAGACGTTACCTCTATCTTTTAGCTTCACCCTAGCTGTAAAGTTTAGGGTGTGGATGCAGCAATTTACAGTTGGGTCATGAAGGAGTTCAATACACATTTTGGTTTAGAAAGCACTTGAAGGCTTACACTCTTCAAGTTCCATGACCTGTAGTGGAAGACCTTGTGCACATCAATTACATCTGTAAGTACATACTCGGTAGAATTAGTTTTGAAGGGTCATTAAGATGTGTACAAAGAATGAAGTAATCATCCTATGGATCATCTTGAACTAATATGGGTAATAAACAAGAGGTGTGAGACACATCCTTTAATATAAAAACCTTTTACATCACATTCAAAAATATTGCAGTTATGATCAGCACAAAGTAAAAGGGTGGATGTCATTCATAAACTGTTACCTGTCGGCAATTATTGACAGTTTGGTTTCCGTCTAGTTTAATTTATCTACTCAGTGGCTGTGCAATTGACCAGGTTATACCTGTGAGCAACACATTTCTTAAGCTTCAACCTGGGTCTCTACCTCCTGTAAAATAAGAAAAAAAAGTGTAAAGTACGTTTCCAATTTGGCCATTGGCTCATCTGTGATGTTCTATGTCGATTCTTGGCGAGGTGCACTTTCATCCATTAGATACCATGTATTACATTAAAATAAGACTTTGTAGATTATCTCTCACAGGTTATTCATATTTGATCCAAATCTGAAGATTTTGTTTGTGTTTATTCCCCTACAAAATGCGTGCTTTAGAGATTGAAGCATTAAGGTGAGGTGTGGACATGGTTTGGGAGCTATCTAATGTCCAAAATATTGAATTTTCCAAGATCTTTGGAAGACGACCGAAATATGTTGGTTCGAGTGTATGTGTAAGTTGAAATGAAAGATGTATAGAGCAACTGCACACACAGTCCTGATAACTGCAGCATAACCTCAGCAGGTAGTTCAATTGCTTTCACCATCAATATCAGGTGCTGAAAAGCCAAACGATGTACCATTATGGCTGGCACGGTGTACAGTTTTCAGTATTAGAAGCATATAAATTCTACACTAACATCCTACTAATAATTAGCCCATCTAATGCTCAATACGTCATAGCATGTAATTTACTTGAAAATCCGGGAAATGACTCTGACTAGGGAAATAGATCAACATTAAATTGAGGAGCACTGTAAGTGTGTATGCGAAAAAGCCTGCAAAGCACTTCATAGCACATGCTGCAAGCTTTCATAGTATTTCCAAAATAGTTGTACATCATCGTGTTTATAACTGGTAAAGATCTCACATACACATACCTAAAGATTGAATACCGAGTGTGTGCCTCATCAGTACTTTGAACGGCATCAAAATATGTGTTTTCTTGTCCTGTATTAGTATACTAGATCCGTGTTGCATGTGCCCTGGGTCATCACACATAAACTTTGCAGTTCATTGTATTAACTCATCGAAAAAAGATCCAATCAACGACTGCGGGTACCGTATTACACTACCAAATACTGTGGCTATAGCTGCAGTCTTAAGGTGGAAATTAAGAAGCCAACTTACATATCATAAGTTTCATGATGGACGAGTTTCCTCTCTCTAATACAATGTTAAATACACACGGAGTTTCCTAACTTGAGTGCAAGACAAAGTGGCGCTTAGGTATCATAGTTGTTGGACCTGAAAGGAAATGCAACCTCTTAAACATAATTAGACCCCGGCTATATCGTGACAACATAACTATCATTCCAGTGATTTGAGTTAAACTGCGTCCACTCTTTATCACCTTAATTATTATGTTCACCGTTTGTGTAGTGTGCGCGCATTAGGTGATCCTCTACGTCTCACGATCTAACTCCTTCATGTTAGATCTCCAAATGGATACCCAAGTGGACTTGCTATATATGTTTGTTTTTACTCCTGCTGGTTAATAATATCAAACCCAATGTGTAATGTATCTTAACAATCTTGGAAGCTGTGTCGCTGGTAGCGGTATTAATTCAATAATAATTGTGTAAATCAACTGATTTGACCTCTCGCGTCTAAGCCCAATGCACGGAAATACAACTCATGTGCGAGACAAATAGTCCACTGAAGCCAACAGCGAAGAGGATAACGCTTTTTCACTAGTCTCAGCTATCAGGTACATTGGTTCAATAATTAACTGTTTTAAAGGGTTAATATTGGTTGTGTGACCTCTTCAGCACTTTTGGTTCAATGCTTCCCTACCTCATGCGGACGTACAAGAAGCTACAGTTGATCTTAACGAAAGGTACAGTAAGCGCAGAGGACCATAGATTAAAGCAGTAATGGGAAGTTAAAGATTACGTTCATTAATGGGGATGACGAGGTGGAATCTTGACTACCAAGATGATATTTAGCCTATAATTGAATCATATTTGATAATGCTTGCATCAACACCTAAAGATCGCTAACTTGTAAAGGGGCTTGAAGTTTTATACTTATTGGAAACGGCCAATTACAACACACTTTCTTTGACTTTTGGTGACAATCATAGGGAATTAGATACAAATTTTATACCTCGTGGTCATACTTCAAAATGTTTCACCACCATTCTTATAATTGTGTTGACAACTTGAAATTTGTTTAATTTTTTTAGTCAAATTTCCATACTACATTTTTTTACATAATAATCATTACAGAGAGATAAAGAGAAATGGTGCTAATTATTTGATCAAACTTGTTAATATGATGTTGCTGTTCTATAAAATTAGTGAGACATCAGACTCTTGACTTGTGTTGCGTTTTGTAATAAATGGGAAAAGTCAGAGACAATAAACCCAAACCATAAGGTGATAGCAGCTTAAAGACAAATACTAAAGGTCTAGTTACTACCGCTTGAATAGGGATTACTATAGATGTCACCAATCTAGTATCACAGTATAAAGGCAGAATTGTACACGCAATGTAATATATAGGTTACAATCATTGTTTGTAAATACTTGTGCAATAAGCGTTCCGATATGTGAGAAGTGTATAGCAGAGATAGCATTGACTACAAACAAACTCTTTGAAATGAGTTTCAGCATACAGAAAGCTTGGTCCTCTGAAAATGACTACAAGCCTTATATGTACTCTTCATAAAATTATTAATTAATCGGTTATATACATCCATTAAACTCCACAGGTTCATAATTAAAGTATTGCACCAGTAGGTGTTACCACAGTCAAAAGGCTATTGTTTATGCGTCTTCCTTCTTGGAGTCAAAGTCTTGATCACCGGTGCTTTCATCTGAAACTGCTACTGACTTCTTTAGTCTTGGTTGCTTTCTGAAAATCTTGGTTCTAATGAATTCGACTATTGGATCCTCGTCATCCTTGACAATCAGCTGGCCTTCAAGCAACTCTCCATCATTGGCAACCTTATCCGTAAGCTTTGGATTTCTCAATAGCAGGGAGAAAACAATCAATAGGGAGCAGAAACACAGAGCGATCACTGTCTCTAGTCTCTGGATATGGATGTAAGCTTCCACGACTGCTTGTCTCTGTGGAGTTTCCCAGGCATTGTTTGCTGCAAAGGTGTAAGGATCGGCATAAACTTCAGCAGCAAGTGTCGCATTTCCAAGGTTTCTGGCCAAACGGTCTGGAAGAATCTGAGTCCAGACGGCACCAGAGACTGAGTTACCGACTGCTGAACCGATTCTATACATCGTGTAAGCAAGAGCAGCGACAGTGGCCAAGTTTTCGTGAGATGTTGCAGATTGCATAGAAACCGTGATAGGATAAGCGAACATAGTACCACCAATACCCCAAACACAGAGACCACCGATGATACCTGGACCAGCACCATCACCACCTCTGAAGTGGTAGAGCAAGCCCGTTGATAAGAACCACAGGGAAACACCAACTATGATAAATGGCTTCAAACGTCTCACATAGGCAACAATCACAGCGAAAATTGGAGACCACACGGTGGAGACAAACGAATACAATGATGTAATACGGGTGGCCGATGTGACAGATTCGCCAACAGCGATAATAAGGACAGGATACAAGTAGTTGGCAACCATGTAGTAGATGAAGTTGAGCAGGAAAGCCAGGCATAGAGCCGACCAAATTCCACGGTCTTTCAACAATTTGAATGGTGCCAATGGGTATCTCGAGAACTTGGCTTCAAAGTAGACAAAGACAGGTACAAGGCAGAAACCAACAACCAATGGTGCAATAATGTAACCTTGGGACCATTTCTCGGAAAGACCACCAGCTAATGTAAGTGGAACAAGGATACAACCAAGCATGGCAATAAGCAAGAT